CGCGTCCCAGATTTCTGCGATGGTCGGCGATCATTCCCGACAAATGAAAACTCAAAATTGTACCGTCGGGGACGTCGGCGATGGATTTCGCTCATTACCAGTCCCCTAAATTGCTGGGCTCCAGTCTCCCTATCACAAATAAACATGGCATCTCTCGAGAATATGGGACAGACTTCTGGCGATTATCCGATATATCGGCAAAATCTGGGATGGTCGGCAAAAAGTAAAATCCCCGATCGTCTGCGATTTTCCCGACATATGAAAACCAGGCTAAATCTTAGCCTGTGCCAAAACTCGGTTACTAACCGAGGTTAAATTACGTCTGCGACGCAGGCTATATTGCCGAAACACCGCGGCAAAACGCAATGCGCATGAGCGCAAAATTTAATATCCGGTCAGCTTTTTATTTCCGGTCTAGTATATAAACCAATAGCGTAAGCATAACTTTGCCGTCGCTCCAAGTTTAAAAGCAAAAAGGGCGAAACAGACAAAAAAGGGGGCCAAAAAAATCACTTCATTCGAAAGCTTATATATTTTTCTATTCTCAAACTTTTGCACCACATGGTTATCTGTTTGCACCAACGGTGAAAATGATGTTTGAAGTTTGCAGGTCGCGAGCGCTCGACAAGACGAATTTGTTTTTACTGGCTTTCTTGCATGCTACTGGTTTGGCATAAGTTAATTTGGGAGAAGGCGACAACCAAGAAAAGAATAACAATACTTATGAAAGAAACCAAAATAAAGACGTCATCATTATCATAAAAAAACGCTAAAACCAGGAAATAAAATTTTATTCCGTTCAATAATTTGTTTTATTATCAGAGAAAACAAGAACTCAAAACAAAAGATGGGCGGGATTTAATAACAACTTTGACTTTGATGACTGCAATCACCGGGAAACTAAACATGCCTATAAATGACTTTCATTCAAGAAAATGCCTATTTAATTCTTTTACATGGTTGTTCTTTTGTTGAAGACTTCAATAATTTCAGACTGTGCGGCTCGGCTGCATCTCATGCAAACACGAAACTTCTAGCTGCTAAATACATGGCATGAAAAGTTCGACTTCTAAAAGCCACTGAACCAGCTTTCGCTCTCTGATTCTGAGAATGAAAAAATAAATAAATAGAGTTGTCAACTTGCTGCCAACCGGCTCAACAGTATAATTAAGCTTATGTTTCATGGCAATCAACCCAGAAGAGTTTCGTTTTAAAACACGGTAAAACCCACTGGTAAAAAAAACTACAAAGCGATTGTGTGTTGTCGTTTTCCAAATAAAGTTTGAATCGGCTTTAACACATGTAGACTGAGAAACTGAAGAACTGAAAATTAGAACTGCAACACACAAGCTTGCAATGATAACGTTTTAATTTTATGTCTTAGTTTCAGCCAGGTTAAGTGAAAAATAACAGTCAAAAACTTTATTTTCGTGAACGAAAATCAGTTTACCTGACGCTCTAGCCAAAATTACACACTGAGTTATTATCATCTTACCTTTACTGAATCTAATCGACTAATTGTTTCAGTGATCTGTGCCTGGTTATCCACAAAAGCAATTTCAATAACTACAAAATAGTCAAAAACACGAGGAGCATAAAGCAGAACAACTGAACCACAAGCTGCACAGGGGCACCCAACGAGAATATAGTTCAGAATCGCATAATTGAGTAAAATCTCGCATTCTGATTGGTTAACGAAGCGAAGTATTTAGTGTGGAATTGCGAGTTGAAAACGAGGCTAAGCGATATTGTTTCGCATCGACGTAACAACTATAGTCAAATTCTAACACAACAACATGCAAAAAAGGTTTTCTACAATGTCATTTTAAAATGTTTTCAAAACCATTGATTGTCACTTTTTGAATAGTTAAAAACAAACAAAAGCGTTTTTTAAAGTGAGCCGGAGATTCTTCCTTGTTTTGAACTGAACTACAGATTCTCGAAGAGACATAAAACCTCTTTCACTCGCGACAACCAGAAAACAAGGAAATCCTGTGAACACGGCCCAGAAAATGGCAATCCAAAGTTCAACCAAACAAAACGGAGAAGCGACAACGGAGGAAGTGCCGGGGTCGATTGTCCCATATACAGAAGAAGAAATAAATACCTTCAAAGAGGACATGGCCCCTGAAAACACGAAAAAGAGTACGCCGCTTGCAATCGTCCTGAATCGTGGTACTTAGAAAAGTACAAAACAGAGCTGAACTTGAACAGCATTTCTAAAACATTTCAAGGTACTTACCTTATGTCAATGGCGACGTTAAACATGTTAAACTTTCAGTGCTTTCGCTTGGACACTTGATTTCTTTCAGTTTTACCGCCGAAGAGGTAAAAGGTGTAAATTATTTTCCTTCTCGAGCAAATGACCAATTTGAAAAAAGACGTTCTACATAAACGGCTTCTAAATTCAGTAAAATACGTCTATTTATCCTTACGATTAGTGTGAAGCTTGTTTACACGTAAAAAAGTCTGAAAACAAATGTGAAAACGAGCACAAGGTACAAAAAAAGTTGTCGAAGGTTCAAACGTGTACGACTGACCTTGCTTCCTATTCGCTAACGCAATGACAGTTCTGACAGTTGACTTTGAAATGGCTTTCTGGAGCGCGCGCTCAGGATAAAAACAAACAATATTATTGCTGTTTTCTTTTTTTTTCTTCTGATTTTTATTCAATTATGCGATTCAAGGAAAATTCATTACCTGACTCGAGAATTCCACGTTAAATTGCACTTGAAAACCGATATCGCACTCATCGCTTCGCGATTCGTGCGATATCGGTTTTCGCGTGCAATTTAACGTGGAATTCCCTCGTCAGGTAATGAATTTTCCTATAAAACCACATAGCATTGTTGAACATACTTTAGTATTTAAACGGCAGATAAAGGCTTATTTTCATCCCCTAAAAATTTTTCATCTGTTCGGATTTCCTAGCTGAAAGTATAGTGATCCGAAAATTATAGGGATCAAAATTTACCTTTTCGAAAATTTCAGCCAGAAAAAAGGCTCCCGAAAATTCTAGGTGACCTTTTTAGGGTAAAAATCCGTTAAAAATGGGCAATTATACAATTTTTTTGAAGTTCGAAAATCCTAGGAGAGGCAGGCAAGCAAGAAATGTTTCAGAAAATGATCAGAAAATTCTAGACCTCAAATCGATTAAAATCGTCTTCCGAACAGATAATTTTCCGAAAATTATCTTGGGTGCCCCTGGCTGCACACAGAATGAAGCCGAGAGCGCGCGGGAAACTTTGATCTGACTGGAAAGTGTGACTGAAATAGAGACCGTTAATAGAGACCGGAAATGCTCAACCTGGAGCATGCGTAGACGTTTTGCCGCGGTGTTTATTGCCGATCAATGCCCTTTAAAGTGATAATAATAGTAATAGAGAACTCATTTTAATCCTCCCCTAGCGGCTGGGGGTAAAATGAGCCTGACTCGGGCCCGAAACATATTTATGCCCGAGAGCAATTTTGCAGTTTTTGATTAGCGATATTTCATTTCATATATATATATACGGCTTGCTCAGTGTTGAAATTATCTGCAATTATTCAGGTTAACCGTCTTTTTCAACTTTAGAACCTTTAAGTTCTATTTAAAATTTGCAAATACATGTACGACTGGACTTCACCCGTTTACCTTTCGTAACAGTCGCTTCCATTCTTTTAATAGTTGATATTGATGTCATCGTTGGTAACTAACCCTTTTTACGTTATGACAGACGTGATAGAATTTCTCCGTTTCAATATGGTAAAAAAATTGTATACATTTTGCAGTAATCCTAGAAAGAAAGAAATTTAAATTCAAGCTGGACTTACGTTAATAATTAGGGTTTCGTTTTAAGTAGAAACACCGTAGCTCTTAATAACAGGCCCGGGATGACAGGCCAAAGTTTTCAAAGTCTCTTTAAAATGGCATTGATCGTTTACGAAAAGAAATTCTGCGGTAACACGTTCTCCTGCTCTGGCCAATAAAGCAAAAAATCTATCTAATTCTACAGCTGTTTGATTGAGTTGAGAACAGGCTGTGTTGAACATAGAAAAAAAAAGGATTAAGTGGCAGGTACACCAGAGAAGATATCGCTCAACAAATGCAGCCTCACACTGCGAGCTTGCAGAGCGTCTTTTTGTCTTTTATTCGAGCAAGCGAAAGAAAGATTCTGTTGCTGGCGGGGTGATGCAGCCTAAGTCCGTGAGTGTCAATGAGAAAAATAAAAGTGGATCCACTTTGACTCTACTGGAAATCCTGCTTGCTCTACAACTTTACAATTTGAATCAACAACCCTAGTCTATTCACACCAGGGAAAGGCTCTTGAGGCACACCTCAAAACTGTTCAATACGCCTTCTGATCAGCCTCTCAGGCTATGACCTTTAAATTTTGCGACTTGTCCTCATAAAAATTTAATAGTTAAAGAAATTATGACAAGATGTTGAAAATGATGAGCGCATTATTTTGTGTAAATTTGGTGGTAGTATCATAAGTGGTTTTAAAGTTATAGAGGGGGGCCTCCAGAACCTCGCCCCAGTCCCAGGAAGCCTAATGGCCTGTCAATGACATTTACAAGAGTAGCTTTATGCGGAGAGACATATTTTGAGTTTATTGTTTACAGCACTGTAAACTAGAGCAGAACCTGAATAATTTCAACATTGTAACACGATACTTCAACGTTAACTTTTTATAGGCAAAGAATCGCACTCGGTACATCATTACTTTACTTAAACGTCTCCCCGCTCGTTTTAAAAGTTAAGATAGTGCAAATGCGTTAATGTTGCTAAATTTCCTCGAACAATTTCATTTCAACTTGTCACCATTAGACATAGAAAGCTCTCCTGTATTTTAAAGAAGCAAGGACTTATAAATGTATCTTTTACTAATTGTCATGTTGCTTATTGATCCAGACCCTTAATTTTGTTCTAAGAGTGGCCATAGTTCTTCCGTGGATACGACAAACCTAAAGTCAAATCTCTTCCAACAAAAACTTCCATCCACTCACTTCACCATGAT